TTTTTCTCCTCTTCCTCTTCCTCAATGGCGTCTCTTGTCTCTGTGTCGTAACCTTCGTCGTCATCGGAGTCCCCGAATACCGGAAGAATCTCGTCTTCCTCCTCAGGCTCCACAAAAGGAGACATACCATTGCGCAACAATATCAAAGACTTGTCGTTCATGCGCAGTAGTCGTCGCAACGCTCGGTGGACTTGCCGGCTGTGTCCGGTGGGAATCAAGCCCCTAGCAACGAAGTGGAATGTATTGCTGCCTTCATCTGCGGGGCTTGCACCAGGTGCAAGGCTTGACTGAGGGACTTGACGGCTGATAATGAGCGCATCGGGTCCAAAGTACGCCTCCCGACGATTGAATCTCGAGACAAGCTTCTGGTCCACTTGCTGAGTATCCGGATGTGTTCTTCTGGAAGCCGCAGGCGATGGAGAAGGCCTTATGCTTGCTTTATCGAGCTCCTGAGAAATAGCGTCGTCTGTTACAGCTGGGATGGCCGGCGATGTTTTCCCGCGGTTTCCGCTGGGGGTCGTATTCGACAAGGGTAGCCGGATATCTGCTGTCATAGACTTCCGAGTAACAACGTCGTCGGCCGGGGTCCTGATAGGTATGTTGCCAATCCCTGTGATAGTACTGGTGATCAATGTTGGCGCCATCTTTCTCTTCTTCTGAGGTGGTTCGCTCGTCTGCATGTCTTTCTCTTCAACGACGGAGGCCAATGCATCTTGATCCGTGTTGACGTCTTGCGTTGTGATAGTCGTTGGAGGGTCCTCTGTGGTATTGGGATTTGGGGCTGCGGGCTCCGGTTTGCCGTTGATATGCAGCTCTAGCGAGCTTTCTTGGCTATCTGCCTCCTCTTTTGCCATTTCGATCTTCTGATGTCGATAACCGTGGCTTTTCGACTTGAGATAGTTGATGGCTTTGACAATCGTCATCTTGTGAACGATTTTGACGATGCCGAGGTCTCTGAGAAGACCGTCAAGAGGGGGCATAACATCTTCGTAGGTGAGAAGCGTCTCCCCATCAATGTCATGCTCACGGAGTGCTTTTGCAAGAATTACCGGGTTGGGCCTCTTGCTCGTAAGTTTTGGATGCCATGGCCGACTTTCAGCGGTGCATAGCTCATGTACCAGCCGTTCAACGTCCCAGTTGAAGGGGTCATCCTCATTGCCCTCCATGGTGGCTGTCGTTTAGGACATGAGGTTGGCTAGAAGTTGACAGATTGATTAGCACCAGACTGAGGAAAGAGGGTATGAAGGACGCAGATCTCGGGCATGGGTAGTGAAAACAGAGTTCACTGGTCAAGCGAGCTTGAAGCAATGTGTATGAAGGTAGATTGTGAGAGAAAAGGGCAAAAAGCTTGGGAGATAGCTGCAGTGATATGTAGCGACCTCGAAAGTATGATCCACCGGTGAAAGAATATGACAAAAGAACCAGTGTCGGGCTTTGGTTCGAGAAATAGACAGCAACAATCTTGAAGCCAGACTTACGGCGGATTTTGAGGCGGGTAACAAAGCGCATGAGTGGTCCTTGATTACTTGGTCGGATGGGTCGAATGCAGGGGAGAAGACAATCGTGCTGACTGCCGGTTTTCGGAACTTGAGCTGTATCTCTGAGTTCTGGACAGCCCGAGAAGTCTCGACAAAAACGAGGATGCGTTTGTTCCACCAAATAAGAGGTAGTTGACGATTGTGAAGAAGACCAGCCACTAGCAGAAGTTAAGTGGTGGATACGGGAAAGACTTTGTAAAGAAGTTACCGGCAGAAGGATGAGGCGGGTCTTCCAAATTTGGGTTGGGTCAGCGGGAGGGCGTATGGAAAGTGGTGATTGTGGTGGGAGGAAGTGGTGGTACCAATCTCGAGGAAGTTGTAGGCATTGCCGCTTCGGTTGCCAATGTCGAATTCACGACGCGTGAGTCTGGAGAAGTCGCGGAAGTCGCAATTGACCTGCTCAAGTCCCACCTTCCCTGGTCAAGCAGGCCCGCAGGGTACCTCGCCTTAAACGCTCTGGATGAAGGCAATGTACCTTTAGGTATGTGAGCTAGTCCAAATAAAGTTAGATGACTTGCAGCACGTCCCCTTCAACACGTGACCGAGCTTTCGGGTTTAAGATTAACTAAGACACCTTACCTTACCTTAGCAGAGGTCGTTCCTGCCCCTGCGAAGAGTCGAAGTCCCTTATCGGAGTGGGATGGAGGGGTAAATCGCAGGCACGGAACTGACCTCCAAGCTTCCGACCCCGCCATCACTTGGTTTGTATTTCCATGGGACGTCTTTCGTTGCCTTGAAGGACTCTTGCAGAAGACAGTCCAGGGTCACTTAGTAGAGTTCAAGCCGATTATCATCATTTGGTCTTGATGTCCAAATAGTTGCAAATATCGTTGAGCTTCCGTATAGCCTGATGTCAAGCCATTGCTTGTAAATTCTCCCCACTTAGATTGATCACGTCTTGTGTGCATCGTACCTGCCGGCTGAGGTACAGTGGGAGTACCAGCCATTTGAAATCCAGACCAGCAGTTCATGGTGGGGCAGCCGATTTCTCGTCACTCCCCCGCCAGACATACCTCACTGACATGAACACTCATTCCTCATCCGGTGATATTTGACTTCACATAATCTCAGTAGACTCGACAACTGGCTTGAGTCTCTGTTTGTTTCAGACAAAGTCAGGCCTGTCTTTTTACCACCAAAAAGGGTTTAACCTTGACGATCCGTCGCTGTTCCTACTCTCATTCGACTCAAATTATCCGACTTGCAATTATTAATCACGGAGGCGCAACTATACCAGCTCATCCAATTTCAGGACCATTGTAGCTTGCAGTCGGGGCTCTAGGCTCAGTCTCATCAAGGAAAATTTCACCAGCAGCATGGCAACTCCGACGTTGACGAGGGAGCAGTACCCGCCCCGGCTCTCCCAATCGGAGCAAGACGCCCTCGTCCAGACCGTCAAGGATTGGGCTATCGGCAATGGCTTGTCAGTCCGGCCGCCTCCTACGGTCGTGACGCCGGAGTCGGACCCCAAAGGTATTCTTGCGGTAAACGTACCCGTAACTCTGTTCCCTAGTCCTTTCCCCAAGGGATGCTTCGAACAGGCGAGATCTGTGCAAAAGACCTATAATGAGCTCTATGCCGCCATCAGCAGGGATGAGGAGTTCCTGAGTGCCATGGTGGATGAGTATGTTTCCACTTCAGCTTGATAGTCACGCATCAAGTGTAGTCTGAACGACCATAGGAAATGATGCTGACAACGCGTAGGGTCAAGGGAGGCGACGACTTCATTGGCAAGCTGTGGGATACCCACGTGCGAGTGAAGAAGGAGGGATATACTCAAGTGCGTAGTCTACCGGTGCTTCAGGCAATGTGACTAATGATGTGCAGAGTCTCTCTCTGGGATTGTTCAGATCAGACTATCTTGTCCACCAGGATACCTCCTCAGGCGAACCTAAACGCCAAGTCAAGCAGGTCGAGTTTAACACGATAGCTTCATCCTTTGGTGGCCTTTCGTCCCGAACCTCGCTTCTCCATAAGTAATCTTACACATCTCGCAAGGAGAGAGAAACCCAGAATACTAAACGCACATAGGTTTCTTTCCGTGGCAGAGTACCCTCTGCTTGATCATCCCATCGAGTCAGGGCCCCTCGACCTGCCCGAGAACAAAAGCGTTCAAGGCCTATCCGGCGGCATCCGCGCCGCCTACGACGCCTACGGCCCATCGGAGCTCGGCCACAAAAAGTGCGTCATCTTCGTCGTCCAGGGCGGCGAGAGAAACATATTTGACCAGCGCCACCTCGAGTACGCCCTCGTCAACGACGCCGCCGACCCCGTCACCGTCTTCCGCATCCCCTTCTCCGAGCTCCTGCAGCACACCACCGTCGCCGACACCCCCAAGCGCCAGCTGCTCTACAAGCTGCCACGAGACCCAACCAAGGTGTTCGAGGTCGCTGTCGCGTACCTGCGGTGCTGGTACGACCCGTCCGACTACCCGGATGAGAGCGCCTGGGAGGCCCGCTACCACCTCGAGAGGTCGTCCGCCATCAAGTGCCCCACCGTCCTGACCCAGCTGGCCGGCAGCAAGAAGATTCAGCAGGTCCTGGCGACGCCGAGACCGGCGGCGGCGGCGGCGGGTGGTGCCTCGCCTTCGGTTCTCGGCCGCTTCATCCCCGACGACGCTCCCAGCACGGCCGCGGTGTTTGAGACCTTCACCAACATCTTCCCGATGGACACCTCCGAGGCCGGGCTCAAAGCGCGTAAGATCGCGCAGGACCCGGAGCTGTGCAAGAGCTACGTCCTCAAGCCCCAGAGGGAGGGCGGCGGCAACAACCACTACCGCGAGGACATTCCCGAGTTCCTGAAGAAGACGCCCGAGACGCACTGGGGTTCGTACATCCTGATGGAGCTCATCACGCCGCCTAAGCAGGACAACATCATCCTCCGCAACGGCAACCTCGAAGAAGGCGGCGTCATCTGCGAGCTTGGCATCTACGGTACTGCAGTGTGGGATCAGGGCACCGGCAAGGTGGTTCACAACGAGGAGGCAGGCTATCTGCTCCGCACCAAGGGCGATACTAGCAACGAGGGTGGTGTCGCTGCGGGTTTTGGATGCATGGATAGCTGTACGCTCGTCTGAGGAGAGCACATCTGGTGGATTAGATCATCATAGAGCCGTTGAAAAGTTCCTATGCGTGACCTGAGTGAACATTGAAATGGAACAAATGGTTCAAGCAGCTAGAGCAAACGTAGCGCAAGATCACAGTCAAGGCGCGAGTGAGAGGAGCAACCCATGGTATCAATTATCGTCCTAGAAAAAAAGAGTTTTCGTACAGCACGCCTCAACCAGCCCATTTATCAGGTCATTGTACACAAAAAAGATATAGGAAAAATCTCGATAGAGTGGAGATAGAGAGGAGGGAGGCCAGTCCAGGTCAGGGTCTCTTCAAGGGTACACTCGTCTGTCGTTCGTTTCGTACATGGCACGAGAGAAACTCCGTTTGTTGTATTGGGGTTGGGGTGCATTTACTCGCTGGCCTCGCCGCCGTTGTTGCCGGTGTAAGGACGCTTGAGGACCTCGATAGAGCCTGTGACCTGATGTTAGCGTAGCTCCATCTCTTCCTCGAAAGCCGATTCGCATTGGGATGGCATGTTGAGTGGGGAGAAGACGTACGCTGGATAATGCTCAGGGAGCTGCGGTTCTTGCCCTCGGCATCTTGGTAGGCGCGCATGGCAGCTTCGCCCTCGACGTAGACCAGAGTGCTATTACAACACGTTAGCACACTTTGAAACCCCTCAAACGCCTTTTATTCTTCATCTCTCTCCGCCTCCCCCCAAGCTTATCATTGCGATGTGGATGTGGGTGCATGCGTACCCCTTGGGCAAGCTCTGAAGGAAATCCCGACGGGGACCCTCAGCCTCAAAGCTCGTGACACGGAACCAGCTGGTCTGGCGGTTATCCTTGGGCCCGCTGTTGCTGGCGACGGCGTATCTGATAATCTCGCGGCCGGTGCTGGTTGGGACGACCTCGGGGGCGTCGGCGAGGTTGCCGACGATGGTGATGCGGGCGACGTTGTTGGACGGGGTGGTGCTGAATGCGCGGGCGGCGGAGGCCATGCGCGGGGCGACGGCGGCGCGGCGGAAGAGGGCGGAAGCAGACATCTTTTTTTTGGTTGCTTGGTTTGTAGATGTGTAGAGCAAGGAACGCTTTGGTTCAAGGAGTGTCGAGAATGTGAGGTGTAGGATGGCAAAAGATGGTGTTGAGGTGTCGAAATTGGCGAGATACTCGTTTGGGGGGGAAGCTACCTTAAAGTGCCAGTGTGGGAGCTGTCGATTTCGTTCGCGGTGGGCGCGTTCCATCGACGCGGTCCAGGGGAAAGCACACGGCACCTCAGCTTGATGCACTGTAAAAGTGGCTCGTGCATAAGGCGCCAGGTCCCTGGAGTTTTCGCATTGACCCCTGAAATTGGATCGCATTATATTCCTATAGCGGGGTTGTCTAATCGGAGTTAATCGCTTTACCGGAAGTGCCAAAGGAAGGATGGAGAGTAATCAACCTCCACATCGTCTACCTATCTTCGTTGTGCTTGGAAGCTCCTAAGTTTTTGTCTTGATGAGGAATCTTATTAAAACTTCTTTTGTATCTCATAGACAGGAAACTCTTATCTCCAAGGCCAATTAAGATCTTGGTGTGAATACAAGGCGATATACGGATACAGAAAACAAAAAAGAGTTCACCACCGGCGTGGCTACATCTCTTGGTGCTCATGCTGGGATTCGAACTCGGGTACTCTCGTATGCGCTGAGCCTGTCGTCGAGTAGGCTGGTTGGCGTGAATAATTGGCGACCATGAACCATTCCACCACCCAGCCAGTTTGACCTGACCCCCCGACCTAGAGGGGCGCCTGCTGTGCTGGTGACTAGACTGGAGTTGAGGGGGTACATATGGGCTTCCCTCCTGCGTGTATTCAGGTTTCTCGTGTATATTCCAGTGCTGTATCATATCATAGTTTCGTAGATGCCTTAGGTAGGTAGTTTCAATGTACCTTTGCGGGTGTTCGGCCAAATGAATAGGACTGGGGGCCATGATATCGTTCTCACTCGCTCTCAGGATGGATATTTTACATGAGGACGATACATGCAAGGTCGAGCTTCCTACCACCGCGCCCAGCAAGTGGCGGCACGGAAACGACGTGGCATCTCAAAGGATACCACACACAGCTAATCTATGCGTTGTAACACGCAGGAGCACTCTAGCCGTGCTCGTGGACAAGAATGAGCATAGCCAAACGGAGGTTGAGAGGTGGCACATCAAGGACGATGCACTGAGAGGAACAGAGATTTGCATAGTTGAAAGAAACGAAGTTTTGAAGCACATCAGGTATCTAAACAAATTACAGGGGTCCCCCGAGCTCATGTGCTCCTACTTCATCATCCCGACGATAGACGGGTTCCCCTCATCTCAGGATCGCTCCCATTCCGCACGTTCTGGCATATAAAGCACATAGTTTCACCCAGAAGGTGAACTTGAAAAAAAAAGCGTATAAGAAATCATTTGCTTCACATTTCGTGACTGTCCCAGCCAAGGGATCCTTGAACTCCGCGCCATGCCTTGGTATAAGGTAATAGTAGTAGTAGGGGGTGGGGGTTGGAAAAAAGAGTAAAATAACCCCGGGTAGTAGTAAATGGATATCGAGTGCCTGATGAAGAAGTGAGGCTACGGTCGTATAAGCTCATGTCGGTTCATCCCACAGGCCGCGGCCGATCCGTGATTAGAAAGAGTGTACGATGAAATACGAAGTCGAAGGGAAGAAGGTTGTTAGGCAGGGGACCGACATTAAAGTCGCCTTGCCATATTATGATGCCATCACGGCGGTTGCCGGCTCCATTGGCAGGCTTCCAGACCTTGAGCCGCCAGGTGTGCTAGGAGCAGGCGCAATTTCCGGATCTGGGATTTGTATGTCGAGCTTTTCCTGAGTTAGTACAGTATTGCACGTGGGTTCGGCAACTTGAACTTACTGTCATGTACCCCGTCTTCCTCAGTGAAATAATTCGTGGGGCCATTGAACTGTCTTCATTGCCGATTGTCTTTTCCATCTCGTTGTTCCACTGGTCAATCCAGCGTTCCAGGCGCTTCAGCCGAGCTTTGACACCTGTAAACCCCAAATCATCCCACAACCAACCCGTAACGAGTCCGAGCATGCTATCGACCACGTTTCTCCAGTTGTATGGGCTGAATATAGGAATGAGCTCGCCGTTGAGCTTGTCGACAATCCTCCGGAACTCTTGTTCTGACAAGCCGGCCGGATCCAAGATTTCAGGATACAAGTTGGAAAACGTCGGAGCCAAGTCTCCCTCGATCAACCAGTCTCGGCGTATGCGGATGATTCGAGTGTTGTGGTACTCTGGCGAGTCGAGAGGAACGTGAGGATTCATATGGGGGAAGCAGGGGTGTTGTGGACCCCATTCTTCGCCCAGATCCGGCGGCAGTTCCTCTCCCATAATCGACGAGTTTGAAGATGAAATGGCCGACCCAATACCCATGCCATCGCCAGCCGACACATTTGAATGACGTGGAAGCACATCTGGCCCGCGCTCCAAGTCCTTGGAGACCCCTCGTCCCTGATTCTCTGCGCCTGGCTCCATGGATGCCTTTCCTTTCCCTTTGTCGTTGAGTGTTATGGCAAAATCTCGTATGACTGGGTCAGAAATACTCTGCCCACGTTTCCTCAAACCAGTCACTCGGGTCTCGGCAGAAGGTTCCGCAGGTGCTTCTTCTTCCTCGTCGGCGGGGTGAGCGTCGGGATCCAAGAATGTTGGCGAAGGATCAGCGGACCTTCGTCCGTCGTATGAATGGCGCACTGATGGTGGTAGGCTGATGCGATGCTCTGCACCACTCCCACTGCGGTCGATTTGGAGGCTATTTCGATTCGATGTCGAATGTCGCGTTTGGCGCTGCTCCGGGAGAGTCAGCAGCGGATAGTCGCTTGCGCCGATGCCGAGAGGGTCAGCAGGGTCGACGGACAATGGATCGAGAGTCGGATGCGAGAGAGGAACGGCGGGGGGAGGCGGTGTCGAGGGTCGTCGTTTGCGAAGAGCTGGCTTATCGGGAAGGCGTGGTGTAGAGTTGGTTGGGTTCCAGAGACGAGCAGCGGAAAGGTGAGGAAGTCGCCGGGCCGCAGAAGAGGCGGCGCGATTGCGAAAGGGAGACTGCAGGAAGTACTCTTTGGGGTCGTATTGGCGTAGCAGGGATGGAGTGTGAGCTTGGGGCAGGGCGGCGGCGTGGGCGGCTACTGGAGTCTGGAGGACAGGCGAAGCGCCGGGATATGTGGGCTGCTGCGAAAGCGTTGTGATGCGAGGATTTGCGAATGCATCTACGGTGGCCGGTGACGAAGAATTGTTTCTCGCGTGTGAAGCCGTGGGGAGAATGGTTCGACGAAGGCCGCCGTGAGGACGACGGCCTTACGGGGCACGGTGGAGAACGGGTCTTTTGGTTGTCGAGGAGTTTGCAGCAGCGCCTGGGCCAGGCTCGTCGAGGTCGCCAGGGCCTCTTTAAGCGGCAGCGGCAGAAACGACAGCGGCGATGTCGACAGCGAACGGAGCGATTGAATTGGTCGCCGGGTTGGAGGGGAGGTTGAGGGGATGGTATTGGGGAAAAGTCGACCAAGGAAAGCGTCGCGCAGGAACAATGGGTGCAGCAACAGCCGCAATAGTCGTAGGTGCAAAACGATTAGGTTTGCAGTTAGATATGTGGAGACCCGGACAAAGAAATGCGTAGGCGACGACGTGCGGACGGTGGCTCGGACTGCAGCTTTGGCTTTCGCTTGAACGGTGGTGGTGGTTGTTTTAATGCAAGCGTGGGCAAAGCGTCCAATGGTGAATGGCAGAGGGAGAAGCGGACGAAGAGCGTGATTGGTAGCAGCAGGCTCAAAGGTCAAGGCTGTGGTGGTTGTGGATGTGGATGCCCGTGTGGATGCAACGGTGGTGGTGAGGGCGAGGGTGGTGGTGTTGGATTTGAACCGAGGAAGCAATGGATAATTGCTGCAAGTAAAAGTTGTGAATAATGTGAATAATTGCGCCCGAATAAGAGCGCAGGTCGTCCAGAGGTTGCAGCTGAGCGGCGACTGTGAGGCGGCCGTGGAGTTGTCCAAAGTGGAGCGCGCGTTCAGGGGGGAGGAGATGGCCGAGATTGGGTTCCTGGAGGCTCTGGCTCTCAGTCCCAGCATTTTGGGAAGCCGCTCGCTGGAGGGAAGCAGGGGGGAGGGGGGAGGGGGGGACCTTCCTTGAAGTTCCCTCCACTGCCCTGAACCCGCGAAACCCGCCCACTCTTACCGGGCAGTTGCCAGTGAGCAGGCAGGAGCTGCGCTTTCTCTGCCCGGAAGAAGGAAGCGTGGGAAGGTACGGAGTACGGATAGGAACGTCGGGCTAGGCTCTACCTTAGCTTCTTCCCAAGTTCCTGCTCGTTGAATGCCGCAATGCGCAGGAACGGACGGCAGGATCGTCCTTTCTCTGTGACTCTGCGTTGTGGTTCCTGGCTCCTTCCTGCTGCTCGAATTGTTTGGTTCGGATCCTGTTGGGCCGGGATCAACGTTCCTGCAGCTCGGTGCCCACTTCACTCCAGCTGCACTTTTCAAAATTCGTCGCCGTCGTTTGGACCGTCGAACCGTCGTATATTCGATATCGTCGATATCTCTTCCAGTCGTCGTCTCTTCTTGATGCTGCTTCGTCGTCCAAGCTATTCCAACGTCTGTTCACTCATCCGCCGGTCTTTCGTGTCCTTCTCCACAAGAAACAGAAAGAACAGCCAACTGTACTAATGTCGTCGTCGTTGCTCAAACGCTCTCCCGCTGTGGAACGAACAGTAGGGCTGTTTGATGTCGGCCGTGGAAACTGTCGCAGGAGGGATCGTGGGTTGGAGAAAGACAATCGATGAATGTTAAAACCAAAGTTTCCCGTCAGGCTTCACAAGCGGAGTGGCGCAGGATATATCGATAAACAGTGACCTTGCGAAGCGGTTCCTGTTACAGATACAGGATTTGAGGATTCCGCCGGTGCTTCATCCGTCGTTTTGTGGAGGGTCTTGGGTCTTGAGTCTCGCACCAACGACGAAAAAGGCGGAAAAAAAGAAAATCTAGACACGGCACGACACGACACGAGATCCC